CCTTGATACGGAGACGAATGAATAAGGCCAGACTCTGGTGTAGGGATGGTGGGTAAATCCCCGGTAGCCTATGAAATACAACAATTAAAAGACTCCTTGAAGGAAGAGCAGTTCACTCACGGATGACTCTGAATAGCTTGGCGATGATTCCCTTTTGACAAATGCTCGGGGTGTAGTTGCGGTCGACATCCTCTTAGGCCTTCCTTCAAGGATCCTGGGAACCGGCTTGGGGGGCATCGGCAAACCAGAGGCTGTCATTCCTTTCCCTCGCATTTGCCTACCCTCAAACGGTGCGGAGAAACGATAGAAGCAAAGGACGAGACCAAGTGCGGCAGTGACGAAGAAGCTGACAGAGGATAGAACTCCAGCAACGTTTGGATATTTGCTCACGAGTCGCCTCGTCCCATGTAACTGTACGCTGCCTCTCACAAATGCTTCGAGTATCGTCACCTCCCGGCCTTCTCCACTTCCCAACGATTTCCAGCTGTCTCGTCGACCAACTTCAAGGGTAGCGAAGAGCGGTGAGGATGTTCCTGGTATCCAATCGGGTAAGATAGATATCGTGACATCAACATATCCAGAGGAAGAAAGTGACAGTAAACGTCGAATCGGCCCTTTAGGAGCTTTAGGAAGGATAGCGGCCTGAAGATGATAAGAATTAAATGAATGAGTACAGTCATCCACTCACAGGTTTGCGAGCTGCAACTAGAGTCTTGTTCGAGGGCGTCGTCACGTTCAAATATGTCATAAAGTTGCCTGATGAGAGATAAATACGTGACATGGAGTGCAGGAGTATATCATAACCTTACCAAGACTAACGCTAATGTCGGTATGCGGCACGGTTAGATGAACCGAAATATCATATGCTTGGTCTGCAACGAGAGGAGGAAGTTGGAAATGTGCTATTGGAATGGGTGACTCTCTACATATGAAGAATATATGATAAGCAGACTGATCTCTCAACAACGCACAGTGACGCAGAGGCATGCACTCACCCGTACTGGAAAAACACCCTACGTTCCCAAGGTTGGGGGACAGAATTCCGTACAATTAGGCCTGCAATGAGAGATACGATAATAATCAAAGGGACAGAGATGGCTATAATAGCGAGTTGAGGGAGATAATGGAGCGAAACGTCGACAACAGTTCGCAATATCCGTTCAATCAACGAGACTTCCTCATCTTGCTGAGGTTCCTTGTCGTCTGGTAGGCCCACTTTTGTTACTGTCGTCGACATCGCGTATTTGTGCAAGTTGGCACACGGTGTTGGTGAGCGGCAAGCTAGGGCCACTTTGTTCCCAACAGTCATTGCCACCACAATTTGTAACACAATCTAACGGGCATAAATATGCGTACCATTGGCCAAAAAGCAGTCTTTATTGGAGATGGTCGCTTCTCTCAAAGGGGACTTGGAACAAAGTCTCAAAGTCTCATGTCGTCGATTTTATGACTTGCTTAGTTAACCTTACCTTTACTCCACGTATTCTAGGTTTGGAGTGCAATTAGGCCTAGCGTGTTTCTCGGGGTCTTCCCCTCAACGATCGACGCGAGCAATTAACGCGTCCCCTTCCTCTTCAACTTCATTTATCCTAATGCAAGTCTCCTGAAGAAGATGGATCACGCCTATTGGCCTCAACATTGGTTCATCCATGAAGGCTTGTACCTAAGGCTAGCGGTCTTGCATGAAAGTTTGGTGGCTTAGACAGCGGTCACCCCATCCTAGCTGACTTTTTTTTTTACCGAGAAGTGAAACCGGGCCCTGAACTCAATCGGGAATTATCCCCCTTCCACTTCTCATTACCCCTGTCAGGGCGGCTCCCTTTGAACGCAGTAAGGATAGATCGAACAACATACGATGGAAACCAGAGAGTGACGACTAGCACTTATAAATATCCCTACAATATCGAGGTGAACTTGTCCATTCGCTTCTCCCCCCTCCAAATTGTAGCGGCGTCATATTCATAAGCAGAGAAGGAGAAAAGTGGCGAAGCCACAATAAAAAACGTCAAGATGACTACTATGGCTGGTGGTCTCACCCCTAGCCCCGCCGAACTGATGGAGTCACTCCGACAGTTGATTGTGGCCCTTCATAGTTTACAAGCATCGCGTTATACAAGTGCAGCAGCAGCTACCATATATGTGTACAACATTTTTCTCACATTTGGGGATGAGGTGCGTCCCTAGCCTTACTTTCGTTCCCTTGGTAGCAACCGAATCTTTCAACCATGACTGACATCTTCCTTATGTTATCCAAGGTCGAATACTTTTGGTCAAGACTCAAATTTACGTTCCCTGATCTTCTATACATCATAAATCGCTACGTCTGTCTCGCCTTCTTCCTCAATACTGTGTACGGTGGGTGCCTCAACCCAAATTCCTCAACGTCGGAGATTGACAGGTTGCATTGTTCTAGATCTTGCCGGCTTCCGACCAGACCTGACAGAGGAGTATTGCAGAAAGTATACCGAGGTTATCGGGTTTGTCTTAGTCCACATGGGTTGGACAGGAGTAATGACGATCAGAGTCTCTGCACTCTGGCAAGAGCATCCACGACTTGTCAAGCTCATCTGGTTTCTTTGGGCCATTACACTGGTCACTCTCACCGTACTCGGGTCTCTATCATGCAAACAAGTCGTCGGTACGTTGAATGACATCTCCTTTGTTTACTTCACCCTGACCATTCGATATGATGGATAGCTGGGATGACATACAATCGATACATTCGGATGTGTGCTCCAGCTTCGAGCCCAAGAATTCTCGCTTCAACGCCAATTGGTCCTACTACATATGAACTCTTCCTCACGACCCTCACATTAATCAAAGCCTATAGCCTCAGTAAGCATGCTAAAGTATCTCAGACTCCCATTTTAGTGAGTGTTTATCAAATATCCGCGGAATGGCCTGACCGGTACGCAAATGCAGCTTCGAGTCCTTACCCGTGACGGTGTATCATATTTTGTGGTAAGTCAATGCAATATGATGAAATGAGTATCTGACGCGATACTCCCTGCCCTTAGCTATCAACTCTACTTTCACTAGCGAATATAATCTCGTGGTATCTCCTTCCGGCCTCTCTCATGTATCTTTTCCTCTATCTCTATTGGGCCCTGGGTTCTACGTACGTACGCATTTCATCCTCACCTTCTCATTTAACTCACACAAGCACCTCCCTTATCCAAAGCGTCATTGCTGCACTCGTACTCAATCTCCGCCAAACATACTATCGTGGGTTGAGTGGCGAATCAATGACATTCGGCCCGGAAGTAAGCGCAAACATCACTTTTGACCCTTCGGCCACTACAGAGAAAGCAAGGGAAAGGCGGGTGTCACACAGAACCAATGGAATGGAGAAGAGCCCCGATACTCGGAGCCAAGGGAGCCGCTTCATCATGGGTGATTGGGAGTTGGGGGTGGACTCCAATGTGGACGCCAATGCGACATACCAAAACGCTACGGACCTGTCGGAGCAAGATGCATCCGTGCCTTTGGACGTAGAAACCGGCCTACCAACACTAGGTAGCTCCGATGAGACCGCTCAGCGAATACAAGGAGAAACAATACTTGGCGAGATTGACACAGATATACCCATGCGGCGGTTGGGACCCATGACTGGCAACCAGACTGGGCCGGCGTAATGCACTAAAGGGATGGCCCACTATGCGATCGTCCAAAACTCAAGGCATTTATGAATATTTTCTACATTACAGTACATTTATTTAACATATTCTCTACGCTGTAATATATAATTGATGCAGCAGTGACTGTGTCACAAACGCAGCCGCCTTGACTGAATTGGGCCTTGCTTTGTCCACCTTCCTAATTAGGCGGCGACCGGGTTGCGACCTGGCCGGTAAACGGACATCGAAAGGACCCTTGCAGATCAATATCAGCTTCGTACCATAGCTCCGAACTGGTCAGCATGTCAGATCAGTGTAACTAGACAACCACCCATCAAACCTGACATATCGAACGAAGCGAAGCGCCCCTCTCCCAGTACAGCGCCTTTATTTCTCTTTCCACTTCTCCTTCGCTTTGCTCCTCTTGTTTTTCATTCTAAATTTTTTTTCACTCTTTTCTTTCTTTCTTTAGACAATCTAATGGGTCAAACCCAATCTTCTTCGTCTTCTTCTTCTACTGTTGCTGCCATCGGGTCCGCAGGCGGAGTTTTGATCAATTCCGCTGCATCGATCCTGAAGAACGCGACGACGGCCTTACCTTCCTTCTCCAGCGAGCAGTATGATGAAGATAATGACGCTAATGAAGATACAGATACTGCTTCAGCCGCAAGAGACCAACCTACGCGCCAGTCTGTCGTTCCGCGCCATCGATCATCTACTTCCAC